CGGGCAGTAGGCGGGGGACACCCTGAACCGGTCGCTAGCCAATCGCAGGGCACACAGAGATGATCAAACATCTGCGCTCCCACTCGCAACTAGGGACAATTTGGAGTGTTCACTCAGCCTGCCGTGCATGTTTTTGGAAGGTGGGAGGAAACCGGAGTGCCCGGAGAAAAGCCAGCGCAGGCACGGGGAGAACATGCAAACTCCACACAGGAAGGCCGGAGCTGGGATCGAACCCACGACCTCTGCACTGTGAGGTCGACATGCTAACCACTGGCCTAAATAAAACCGAACAACAGAAGTGGGCGCATCAGTCAAATTTGGCGGTCTGTCATTCGTCGGCCGCCTGGGCCCCCCACAGTCCATCATCATCCGTCATGATTTCAAGCCGACCAAATCTGTCGTCCTCCCTCCGTCGCGACCCTCAACTTTGATTTCCCCGAAGTCCTTCCATCTCCTGTCATGTGAAACTCATCGTATGTTCCCCTTCAAAATAAATGGCCGCCACATGATGTGATGTTGAGAAAAATGTGTTTGCTACGCCGCTTCCTACTCGTCAGACCGCGACTGGACTCTTCCGTCCTGCTGCTGTTTGCGGTCAAGCTCGGGTAGCTGGTGGCCACTCGGAGCTTGTCCTTCGCTACTCTGGCATTTTAGGATGATGCGTTCGAATCCTTTCAGCAGCGCATGAAGGTCTGGCACACAAGGCTTGGAAAGTGCGCGATACTCCAGGGGCCTAACTTACAAGAGGCAGTAGTTTGAATTTGAAATGTATTCGAACACCAGGCCGGTCATTTTTTTCACATGAAGCATGAGACCTCCATTTGGTGGGTTATTTATTTATTTTTTTTAATTTGACTGCCTTGTTCACGTGTTTCCTCCTCGTAGAGAAAGCAACCAGTGAGATGAACACCGCAGAGGACTGGGGCCTCATCTTGGACATTTGTGATAAGATTGGACAGTCGCGCAACGGGTCAGTCCACTTTTGTTTGCTGTATCGTCTTGTCCACATTTGTCACAGGTCGACGTTGCGTGCAGAATTGCAACCATCGATCATCCAAATTGATTGAGAATGTTTTGGATTTGATTCCTTGTTTCATTGAAATGTCCCAATCCTTGCAATTACAGCATCCGCACTGTGACCACTCTGAGATTTCTGTCATCCTTCACGGAAGCACGCTCGTATTCATTGTGTTGAAGCCAAAGGAACGGTTGTTCAAAATGTTTGCCGACTTTCTCACATTACGGACCAAAGCGGTCACTCGGTCCTATTTCACTTCTCTTTGTGCATTTTCTCCACTGTCCGTTTCAAATAATGACCTGGTTTGGGGACGGAAATAAAGCCCAATTGATCGACAAAATCATCTGAAGATTGATCTCCAATTAGTTGGTCGTTGCCGCCGTAGTTATGCGTGTGTCTCTGTGTGCTCGGCAGGCCCAAAGAATGTCTCCGCTCCATCATGAGACGAGTGAATCACAAGGATCCTCACGTGGCCATGCAGGCACTCACCGTAAGCGCACGCGTCTCAAATCAAAGACCTTTCTCCTCAGCAAAAAGGAACCTACCTGAGCGACACCAAAATGCTGTTCCGCAAAAAAAAAAAAAGATGCATTACGATGCACTTTTCATCATCATGTATTGATTAGGAATTGATTTAAAAAAAAAAAACCCCCACACCATCCACTCTTCCTATCGTGTGCATGTGCCGGCAGCTTCTTGGCGCGTGCGTGTCAAACTGTGGCAAGATCTTTCATCTGGAGGTGTGCTCCAGAGAGTTTGCCAGCGAAGTCAGCAACGTCTTAAATAAGGTATCCATCGCATCCTCCGCGTGCGCCCGTTCCCGCTTGAGAGCCGCCTCCAGTTTGACGATCGGTGCTCCCAAGGGTCACCCGAAAGTGTGCGAGAAGCTGAAGGCGCTGATGGTGGAGTGGGCCGAGGACTTCCGCAGCGACCCCCAACTCAGCCTGATTTCGGCCATGATCAAGAATCTGCGCGAGCAGGGCGTGGCCTTCCCCGCGGTGGGCTCCCAGGTCGGACCGCGTTCCCGGAAGGCGTCCCGTCGCGCGCCGCGTCACCCTCTTTCTCTCGCAGGCGGCGGAGCAGGCGAAAGCCAGTCCCGCCTTGGTGGCCAAGGATCCCGCCGCCTCAAACAAGAAAGAAGAAGAAGACTTGGCCAAAGGTAAAGTCAAGAGGCTCCTCCGTGCTTTTGCCGTTCGGGGCGCCGTCGATGACAAAAGTCAAGACCACTTGCTCAATAAGTTGCCGTCAAAGTGACTGACGGCTTGTGCAAACGCCAGCCGCTATTCACTTGATTTTTAGGTGCCGCTCTTCTTTACATGCGAAAACCTTTCACAAATGCCTTAGGAGATGTTTTCATTTTTCAATTGAAAAACAAAAATCGGACCTGTATCGAGATTGGCGTGACAGGAGTTTTTTTGTTTTTCATGAAACCTCTATTGAAAAAATTGTTTCTTGAGAGTGAAAAAGTGTCGTCGTTGTCGTAACTGCAGCCATCGAGCTGTCGCTGAAGGAGCAGAGACAGCAGACGCAGACGTCCTTTTCCGGCCTCTACCCCAGCACCTCGGCGCTCATGCCCGCGCACAAGTCGGACGGACGCAAGGTGCGCGCCATCTACGACTTCGAGGCGGCCGAGGATAACGAGCTCACCTTCAAGTCGGGAGAGATCATCACCATCCTGGACGACAGGTCGGCGCACCCGCGCGACGGCCGGCCGGCCGCGCCCATGTGTCGTGCGACTCAACGCGGCTCCTTCATCTTCGTTTCAGCGACCCCAACTGGTGGAAAGGGGAGACCTATCAGGGGGTCGGCCTCTTCCCCTCCAATTTTGTCACGGCCGATCTCACAGCGGAACCGGAGATGAGTACGTACGCGCAAATGCGCGACTGCCCAAATGAGCACGGTTCATGGAGGGAGCGATATCGGGAGGGATTCCTGTCTTCGCATGCGTAACCGAGCGCACGTTTTCCACCGGTGTCTCCTTGTCACAGTGAAGACAGAGAAAAAGACGGTGCAGTTCAGCGAGGACATTCAGGTGGAGACCATCGAGCCGGAACAGGAGCCCGCTTTTATCGACGAGGTAAAAAAAAAAAAAGAAAAAGAAAACGGGACGAGTCGACTCATCCGGGCATCGCCGCGCTTCCATGAACTCAGACGTTGCGTTGAAAATGTCCTTCCAGGACAAAATGGACCAACTGCTGCAGATGATTCAGAGTGCAGACCCCACCGATAACCAGTCGGACAGTGTTGAGTTGCTACAGCTCGAAGGTAAACCACGCGCCGAAGATCAGGAGCAGTTGTACACGTCATCGTCGCGGTTAGAAACAGTGCCGCTCAATCAAATAAAAAAACAAGATTTCATGTCATAGCTACTTGATCAATCCAGTGAAGGAAATGTAAGTTGTCACTTTATGCAAAGTGCAGTAACACGCTTGGTTGTTTCCATGTTAGGAGCCTGCAATCAAATGGGACCCCTCATTGACCAGAAACTGGAGGACATCGATCGGTACTTCCCCTCCCCAAACCCTCAAAGTCTCATTCTTGGTCATGCACCATCAAGTGCGTATTTTGGATGTTCTCACCAGGAAGCACTCTGAGCTGTCGGAGCTCAACGTCAAGGTGATGGAAGCTCTCTCGCTGTACGCCAAGCTCATGAACGAAGACCCCGTGTACGCCATGTACGCCAAGCTGCAGAGTCAGCAGTACTACATGCAGCAGCCCCCCGCCGCCGCCGCGCAACAACAGCAGGTACGACGTCCGTAAAACGCTGGGTCCAAAGTGTCGGCGTCCCAAACGCACGTTTGCCGTGCCGCAGGTATACTCCGCCGCTCCCGCGTCGAGTTCGTACGGCATGAGCGGCGGCGGCGGCGTGCCGGCTTACAACGTGCCCGTGGAGCAGCTTCAAGGCCAGACGCCCGCGCACAGGTCAGAAAGGACACTGAAACGCAATCGCGTACGCGCGGGTCAAGCCCCGTGAGGAAAAAAAAAAAGGGAGGGAGAGATTGTGACACTGTGTTGATTTCCCCAGCGAGGCCCACCTGTACATGACGCAGCCTGCCGCGTACGCCGCGCCGGGCGGCCTGCCGTCGGTTGACGCTCACGCCTACCCGGTTCCCGGGACGAGCCCCGCCGCCGTCGCGCAGGCGCTACCTAACTACGGCGCCCCCTCTGGCCAAATGGCGCCGCCTTCCGCGGAGCCGCCGCAAGCCCCCTACTCGGAGAAGGCCTTGCTATAGGCCGCCGCCCCTTCATCGCTCCGCAAACGGTCAGCATCGCAGCGCCAGATCCCACGTTTCTTTCACGGTGATCTTGTGACGACGCTGAAATCCAAGGTAAAAACGGCCACCCTGCCCATTTTCCGACACGGCCAACAATTGTCATGCTACGTGCGCTTTCACAACAACAACCAGGTCAGTTTGTCCCAAAATGTCTGAAGTAGGGCGAGGGAAAAAAAAGGCCAGTTCACATTATTTGGATTATTAGCTCAAGTTGAACTTACATGAATTGTAATCAATGAATAATGTCAACTCGTTTCTATTCCTACCGCGAGATTAGCACGTTTTGCGATTTCGGGGAAAAAAAAAAAAACATTCCAAAAATCAATTGTCCTTTATTTTTCCCAAGCCTTGTGTTTTGTTGTTCCCAAGAATCACTTTTCCCCTTTCCTGGAAAGGGGAAATAGCCCGGTCACCTTGTGGCCACATTTTATGAAGTCAAACAGAAAAAGTTCCGTCGTACGTCTTACTGATCCTCGCTAATGAATCATTCATATTGTTGATTTTTGTTGCGTAAATTCAAGACTTTTTGGAAAAGTTGTTTTTTGAATTGAAAATGCCAACTCTCCCCTACAGCAACAATAATCCAAAATGTCAACGTATCGGGAGCAAGCAAAGAATTCCCCCCAAAATATTGTATCCCATGACGAACTCAACTTAAAAAAATGAACCCATTCCAGTCATTGTGCACTCCTTGCGTTTGTGGCAAGAGAACACACGCCACCTTGCAATTCCGGTCATGATCGACATGAGGAATGAGTAATGTTTCCCCCCCCCCCCCGACAGTGAAAATTGGAATCGTTTTTTTTTTTTCCGGCACTGTTGATTTTCCTTGCACTCTGTGTTGTTTTGTTGCCGCAATCTAAACGACAAAAACTCCCATGTGATAACAGCCTTTGTACTCACTACTGTGCTAAGCGTGTCCTCCAAAAGTGGCGTTGACTTTGTCTCCGTTCTAGATATATGTTTCTCCAAGTACTGAAAACTGAAGCCACTTTTATTTGTATTTTTTTTTTTTTTTCTTTTCGGGGGCGGGGTGAGCAACGCAAAGCATGCACATGGCTCTTGTAAATAATGTTTAGCACAGTTAGCGCCCGGCCTCGGACAACTAAGTGGGGAAAACAACTTGGCTTTGTTGTTTCTTTTGTAGAGTATTTTAATTTATGTATCGGTTGTGATGCTATTACAACGTGGTGAGAAACGGCGCAAGACGACGTACGTGTTCGGGGAAGGTGACGGACGGCTGACGGTCCGATTCTGTTCATTGTACGTGATAAAAGGAAGGAAATGTCTCGGGGTCGCCGTTTGTCATGATCATATTGTTGGATGAGAACACAAAGCGAAGCTCCTTTTGTGCATTTGGAAGCTGAACTGAATTACAAAGTCGACCACTTGAATTCCCTGCCTATGCTGTTAACTCGATTTTACGCAGCCACACCAGGTGAACTTGTGTAGATGTTCGGAATGACTGCTGATGAGGTCATTAAATTGCTATAGAGTGACAGCGGAATCACTTGCTTGTTTGTTTTAATTTGTATGAAATTGATTTTGAGGGGGAATACATTTTAGGGTGTTAAATTGAAAAATTCTGATCTTTTTTTTTTTTTTAAACCAAACGTGTACCCTATTCTTTGAAGCATACTTATCAATTGGTATTCGAAAAATAAAAAAACAAAGCGGCCAAATGTATAGAACGAGGTGTGTGTGTGTGTGTGTGTGTGTGGTGGTGTGTTCTTTGTAATTCAAATGTTAATATTTGTCAGGTTCATCAATTTGGGCAGTCATAAAACACCATGAAATAAGGAGAGAGAAAAGAAAGGAAAGCCACTTGGAGGCTGGGCCCGGTTTTTGTCTCGGGGAGGAAGGCCAAGATCCTTGGTGGTTCTCGCCAGCGTTGCCCAAACTGGTTCCTGGTGAGCCTCCTCTTTTCATTGATTATTTAGGGAGGCCCTCGTTACATGTGTGCTCCAACATAAGGGGGGGGGGGGTGTTTCAGACCTGGAGGTGGGCCTGGTTGGCGAGCGCCTGGTGGCCGGTGAGGCCTGGCCACCGGCACCCAGGCTTTGATTTCAGGACAATGACCACATCAATTCAAATCAAATTCAATTGCTACTCCAATTACAAATTCAAATGTCATTAAAATTTCAATTGTGATTCAAATGTCAAGGACCGTTTCAATTTTAAACAGAAATTACGATTTCAGTTTTGTGCTTCGGTTGAAATGTTTCAAATGTACTAACACGGTTTGAAATGCAAATCACATTTCATTGATAAATCGACTTTCAATTGTCTGCTGGCCTGGCACCTTTTGAGTTTCACGTTGCGGCATACGCTCCACTTGGTCGAATGTCTCCGTCGGGTCGCCGCGGGAAGTGAGCGCCTCGTAAAAAGTCAGCGTTATCCGAGCCATAAAGCAATTGGGCCGTCATTATGCAGCGTTAGCTCGCTTCCTTCCGAAAGCGTCCAGAGTCCACCGGAGCGCCGCTCCGTCAACGTCGACGTCGTCGGCGTCATTATCGTCGCCTCTCGCCATGACCTCCGCCAAGACGCCGAAGCTGGCCGCGTACGAGCTGCTGCAGTTCGCCGCGCTGGCCGTCCCCCCGCTGGCGCTCGCCGAGCGGTTCGCCCGCCTGCTGAGCGACGTGAGGGGACGCGACGACACCGCCTACTGGCTGGCGGTGGCCTCCTCGGTGGCCTACGTGACCTCCTGCGCCCTGCTGGTCTGGGTGCCCCTCAAGTATCACGTCCTTAGGGGGCGGAGACTTAAGGCCAAGCGCTGGTGAGTGCTTTGTGGTGACGATTGTCATGCGTGCCGTGGTAACCAGAGAACCGGAAGCGGAATTGGCCGCGAAATGGGCAAAATGCAGTGTGGTGGCTTGAGATATGTGTGTCAATTGTTGTGTGACCGCGCTCTTATCTCAAGTCATCTTCCCCCATTGAAATGCATCAAAATGACATTCATCCGCTGCAGCCCCGCAAAAAAACACATTTTGTCTGTGGTTTTTATTTGAAAAGGCACGACTGCACTATACACACATGCTATGATTTTCATGGTTATTTTTTTCCTTCCCCTGCACCCGCCTAGGAGACCAACGATGCTGGCGTATCTCCTCTTGTGCACGTTACCTTCCTTTGCCATTATAATAGCAAGCTCCCAGGTAAGAACGTTTTTGAACTCTCCGCTTATGAATAGATGTATTTATTTCCAAATTAAAAATAAAACATTCACCCAAAAAAAAATCGTACAGCTTTTAAAATACTAGTCAAAAAAAGGGTAACTGCAACTCTCAATAAAATTCCCAAAACAATCTCAATTCAATTTAAAGGCCGATGCGTCGTGTTCACGTGAAAAGGACTTAAGTCACTTTTTCACAAAAAATAAAAACTTGCCACTGTCACAAGACTATTGTGAGTTATTCAGTTACAGTCAGTCATGTGACAGCTTGCCTATTAACTTTACTACCATCATACATGTATTTCTAGACTAGTTTCCTACACTTAACATTGCACAAGCTCAGATGTTGTTGTTTTTTTATCTCATCATCCATCTGTCATTAGGTTCAAGTCAACGCGGGCGTGCGGCTGGACCACTTTGCTGAGTTGCCCGCCTCTTTGGTGATATTGGGGCTCATTTGCGTGGACTTGGTGGAGAGGCTGCGGCCCTGCCGGCTCCTCGGACAATGTAATGGAAATATTGACACATTTTACATGCCTTACTTGACATCACATTCATCATTGAACCCACGCTGCCTGTCAAACAAGTCTTCTGATACACTATCGTTGACTTAATATTCTGCTATATTCATTATTACAATTATCAACAGTTCCTAAAATAATACCGAACAATATATTGCATTTTTTTCAAGTCACAATCATAAAAAAGAGATATCTGTTCTACATTCAATTTTTAGGGGTAACGTTTGTTTTTGTGAGCTTGAAAGTGGCTCCTTCGTCTCTAAATTTGCATGCGAATATGTGACTGGTCGTGTGCGCGACACCAATGGCTGTTCTGGTTCGCAGCTGACAACGTGGACCTTGGCTTTGAGCTACCGGGCCCAGTCCTGACCAACTTAGAAGCGGTCAGCTCCATCTCCAACACCGTGCACCCCAACGAAAGCCGGAACGGCGTCCCGCCCGATCGCCGCTCGGCGCCCCCCAACAACCCCGACACCCCCGGCCGGCGTACCGAACCCCCCGCGGGCCGCTCCGCGCCGATCACCTCCAGAACTCCGGGCCCCGCCTACCTGCACTCGTCCTCGCGAGCCTTCTCGGGCCGCCTGAGCTTCCTGGGGAGGAGCGACGCCAGGTCGGAGTTGTTTGTGGATTGTTTCCTGTTCTGGTTGGACACGGTGGAGTTGGTGCGGGTGGCGGGCGAGCCGGCCGTCTTCTACTCGGCCTGGGTGTACCCCGTCCTCATCCTGGCCTTCCTGTCCAGCCTGCGGGCTGTCCTCGCCCCGCATGGCCCGTTTTCGTCCACGGCAGGAGTGGCCCTCCAGGATTTTCCTTTTTTGGTCACGCGGGTGTCCCTGCTGGCCGTCTTTGGACCCGTCACGCCCGTCTTGTTCCCTCTGAAGAACGCCCTGGTCAGCCTGACCTTCTTCTACTTCACCTACATGACCAGGATGAAGATATTCAAGAGGCACAGCATGTTCTGACCGCGCTCGGGTCACACTTAAAATATTCATCCGAAACGATGCGACATTTTTGTACTTTGTACAAACGCCCTCGAATGCAAGTAAAGGAAGAATATTTGGTTCTCAAAATTTGGGACAGAATGGGACTCTTCCCGGAAAAACGACAAATTGAGAAGTCGCAAATGTCTAAAAAGAACTTATGTGAAATATGTCGAATTTCATGACAAACTAATGGATGCCGTCTTCTGAAACTAGCCCAAATTGCCCAAAGTTCCAATTGATAATGACTTATCAGACCGTTTTCTTCCGTAAACTGCTAAGTGGGTTACGCAACACAAGTAAACGGACGATATTTATTCCTCAGCGTCACTTGTTTTTGTGTTTGTATGGTTGTGTTATACTGCCCCCGAGTGGCGGGAGGAGCACATTGACGAACCGATTAATGGTACAGTATTGCGATTCATTTCAGGCGGGTACTTTTGAAATCCAAATCATTTGAGTTACTCATATGTCAAGACAAGACATTAAGCAGATTTGTAAAAAGAAGTCTTACTTTAGATGGATGACACTAGAACTTTATGGGTGAACTCAGCCTCCTCGGGGGAGGTAACAAAACCCCACAGGGCACTTGATGTGCTCGCCAACACCAAACACAACATTACTTGAAAGAAACAAGATGGAGAAAGGAGGCAGATATTGTGGGGGAGGGCGGTGGTGGGGTTGCTGTTGTGTGGAGAGGAGGAGGGGGGGGGGCGGTATTCGGCATTTGAATTCAGGCCGTGTGCCTCCTGCGCTAGCCCTAATGTTACCTGCTGCGCCATGACAACAGAGGCAGGGAGGCAAGGGCATCGGCTGCAGCGCGCACACGCACACACGAGTAGGAGCCCCAACGCAGATAAGCAGCGAAGGAGGAGCCTTCAAAGTGGGGACGGGGGAGAACTCCCGCAACATCACCGATCGATGGCGAGGACACCAAGTCAGATGACACCTATTTGGACCCGCTGACTCCCCCCGTACGCAACTTCCCGAGGAGAACCCGTGAACGACGCGGCCGCAACTCCCTGGCTCAACTACACACCGAGGGTCCGACCCGAGACAAGAAAGTTCCTCACCCGCGGGCATCTTCAGCCTCCTCTTCCTCCCGACAGCTGATGTCTTCATGTATTGCTGTGGGCTGGGAAACTGGCGGCGGGTGCAGTCCACTTATGTAAGTGGCCGGCGTCCATGCATCTGCAACAGTAAAACCACTAGGACTGTAGAAGAGCATTTATTTATATTTTTTTTTTTTTTGGGGGGGGGGGGACATCAACTAGCCAATTAATCTCACAACAGCACAAGTAATCTCACAACAAGCAGCACATTGGAAAATAGTAAAAAAAAAAAATCATCCTCCAAAAAGGGCTACAAGTTGTTTAATGACACTCCCAGTTCAAGTTTACTGCCGAACTAAACATAAAACAGAGAATTACACTCTGTGTGTTAAATACACTCACACTCACACACACATAAGGACGTTCAGCTTGTAAGAGAGGTTTCGGGACAGACATTTGGTTTCTGTATCCTGCCGCATCACCAAGCTCAACCATCACTTCTTCGGCCCGTTGGCAGCGTTAACGTTACACTCGCAGCCCCTAGTGGCCGTTGTGGGGAAATTCACAAGGGGTCACTTCATTTGGTCCACTTGCACAACCTCGCGACGTTCGATGCAAAATAAAGGCGCGGCGCGGCGCGGCGCTCAGACGCCGTCAGAACGGTTCTTGAGTCCCCCTGTCGAGGAGGTGACGTCCCCTTCGGCAGGGGAACTACAAGTACACCGCAAAGGCAGAATTGTTCGAAGTTCGGAGTCTGTCCGCTGAAGCGAGGGGACTTGGCCGCTCGTTGGTTGACGCGAAAAGGGGAAGCTGGTGCAGCGCCTGCACTGCACGCTTCGCCGCCTCCGGGCCGAGCGTTCAAACGGCGCCTCGCCACTTCCGTGCATCGTCGCGCCTATCGTCGCTATTATGGGAGAACTTTTCACAACGTTCAACCCTCATCGCCCGTGATTGTTCCTTGCCGGACACGCGATGCTTTGAGATGGGAGTTGAATTTGTCCCATTGCCACGTTTGTCACTCAAGTCATCCGCACCTTGAAATGAAAGGAAACGCCATGAATTCTTCCAACGTTCCTGGTGTTGATGATTTGTTCTCAGAACTTTTGGACTTTTCACGAGTTTAACTATAGTATAATGACCGGGTTCAGATTAAAACTCAATCCTACAAGAAATTGGGATTTGACGAGTTTACCTTGTCAATTTCCCTCCATATTTTCCCGTCATGAATTTCCCGTTAATTCTCTGAGGGTGTGCCTCAGAATGTCTTGACGTCGTTCTCACCAATGCCTGCTTACTTTTCTGTCTTTCCCGAACGTTACATTTGACTTTTATTCGTTGTTTTCAGTGTAATTATTCTCCACTTAATTATCCGCTACACAAGATTAAAATGACGCACCGAAAGAGAATACTGCACATTGACGTAACCGACCTAAAACAAGTGGCATTCTCATTTTCCATTTAAAAAGACTCTGAAAGTAGTTGACAAGTGTTTTTTTCTTTTTTTTTTTTTTTTTAAGAAGGGTGTCATCACGATTGAGAGAACTGTCACGGATTTCCTCACATGGGAATGAAATGCTTTTAAATGCCATCTCCCAATTGGAGTCCGTCGCTTCACTGACTCACGTCTACACGCACACATTTGAAGTAGGGCTGACCAAGCCAACCCAACGCGCATGCACTGGCGGGTTGATTTAACCGGCGTGCACCGCGGGTCGGACTTGTCAGAGCTGCCGGACGCGCGCAACAGATGCGCACCGGGGAATAAGCCGTTAATACCCCGAAGACTGCGAGGAGAAAGCCGCCCCGTCCTCACGCAACTCCTCAAATCCGCGCGCGGCGCCGTCTCTGTGGAGGTAGCAGAAGAAGAACAAGGACCGTGCGCTTTTTCTTTTTCCCTTTTCAATGATTTAGGAACGTTTTTACGCGCCGGCAAGTTCTCTTCCGGTCTTGCGACGCGGTGGGCCCGGACGTGCCAACCGAAAGGCGTCGCGGGGGAAGCGTCGACTCGGACGCGCGTGGAATGACGGCAGCGGTCGTTGCGAGGCAAGATGCCGCCCAAGAAAAAGGTACAAAGAGTCCACGCGTCGCGTTGGAGCGCGTGCGCGCGGAACAGGAAGTGTCACCGAACGCGCCATCTGTTGCGCGGGCCGCTAATCCCCCCCCCCCGCGCGAGGCCCTTCGACTCCGCTCGACCGGCCAGTGCGCGTGAATGTGCGCGTGGATGGAGAAGGAGTTACGTCATCTCTTGGTCTGGAACCGCGAGTTGATGGAGCCTATTAAGTCGATGCAAGAGATGCGCTTGACGTTGGCGTGAATTTCGGCCGGATCGGATGACGGTTGCGCTCAAATGAATGCAGGTTGACAGTTGTCTTTCTGTCAGGTTCCAAGTGACACCTTGAAACTTGGTTGACAAAATGGTGACTGGAGGCGGCGGCCCGCTTCGTCGCCTTGATATCAAGAAATCTGCAAAACACTCCAAAAGTGATCTCACATCAACAGTGGTGCCTTGAGACATAAGCTGCCCCGGATATGAGTTGATCGGTCGATTTTTTGAAGTTTTAAAAATGGTTTTGCTTTGACTTGGAAGAGCAAATGTGAACGTTCCAAAAGGTGCGCGTTAAATTCATTGAAGATGCGAAATTGTGTGCGAATGGTTGTCCTTGTTTGCCCCCTCCAGCGACCGACCGGTGGTCCAAGACGGCTCCGCCTCTCTTCCAGAGTCATCTCGGATGGCCTCCAAGTCAATCGAGAGCCTAATTTGGAAAAGCTGTCTGATGAAATGGCTAATTGGCATGCTCACGGGTTCGCCGTCAATTAGGAAGGACGGGAATTGGGTTTTCATGATGCGATGGGAAACACGCTGACATACTTTGGGTGACATTTGAGCGTGTCGGGGAAAAAGTCGGCAGCGTGCCTTTGCCTGGCCTACTGTCGGCAACCTCTTTTAAGCCTCTTACGTCGTCTTTCCGCCCAGATACCCGCAGGCTCTCCTTTCCGGGGTGGGAAGCGGGGCAACAATATGGCAGGTTCAAATAGGATGCTGTGCTTTCCTACCTGATTCGGAAACATTCAGGAACCCCTTCGACGATTGCACGCTTGCAAAAATCTGTGCAATTTTGTTGGGGGGGGGGGCTTTTGCAGGCCGGTTTGCTCGACATTTATTGAGCATCCATCTCTCCATTGCTCAAGATGTCCACTTATTATCATTGAGTGTCAGTGAAGCGTCTCCATAAAATGTGCAGAGCTGACCGGGCTTAAAGTTCAAGATAAAAATAATAACAGCGCACAGCTATTGTACGTCTTATCTAATGGCTGAAATGGAGTCGTTCTCTCTCTCTCTTTTTAAATCCCGGATTGGCGCGTGCTATCTTAATCTCTTCGCTGTGACACAATCATGACCCAGAGAGCAAGAGAGGGCCTTTATTTGTGAAGCATCTTGATTTATTTATTTCTTTTTTAAACCTTTTATAATATACACAATGGGGTGTAAAAGTGTGATTGGAGTGCAACCTTTTCTTCATTGTAGTTGAGTGCGTTATTTAATCGCGTCTCAGAGGCAACAGGATTGGGACATGCACGGCATGCGCATGAGCCCAGCAAGTGTCGCATTAAGACGTGGAAATGTCAGCAGCCGGCCCTGATTGGAGGGCCACCAGGAAATAGGTCAAGAGAGAGCTCCTCCACAGCCAATCAGATTGTATTTCGGACTCGCGCGGTATTTACTCGCACCAGAGAAAATCATGTCTTTGGGAAGCAGTTGTAGCCGCAAGAAGACGTCTCAAAAAGCATCAGCATCGTCGATTGATTCGGCGGTGGTGGCATTGTGTGCGCCTTCTTGGCCGGGTGACTTTGGCTCGTGGGGGCGCCGGCCGGGCGCCGGGCGAGCAGATGTCTGGCCTGAAAGTCGCTTCTCCCGGGGTGCTTTTTTGACTTTGCGCAGTTTTAATCGAAGCGGAGGAGTCATGAATGCAGTTCTGCCCTCTTTCAGGGAGAGCGTCACGACTCGGACGCGGCTGAGGAGAGAAACGCCCAAGTTCAGTTGGAGAAAGCAAAGGTACTGTATGTCAGACCCACTGCTGCCTTCAGTCTCTTGGTCTTTGTGTGACGAAGAATTGCAATTAATTAATTGAAAAAAAAAATGCCTGAATTGTGTTCATCCCTCCATGTCCTTAGTACCGGCCTGTGGCCTTCGCCGTACGCTGCAACTTCTCCTACACGCCAGCGGATGACGACAACGTGCCGGTGCCGGGCCACGCCATCACTTTTGAGGCCCGGGATTTCCTCCACATCAAAGAGGTTGGAAACACTCGTTGCGCGTTTTTCCAGCGGTACGGTGGTGCCCTGAGATAGGAGTTTAATTCGCTCCTTGACCGCACTCTTAACTCAAAGCGCCCGTATCTCAAATCACGTTTGCCTTTTGAAATGAATGGAAATGAGATTCTTCTGGTCCTGTCAACCCCAAAAACCCGTAAAAGAAAACTTGGCACATGTTTTTAATGCACAAAATAGCGGCCTACAAGATTAGACATGTGCATATACATCATGACATGCACTAATGACATCTTTCAATATAGCAATACAGAATCAAACAGTTTTTGTCAAGTTTTCTTCATCGGTTGTGCTGCTCATTCTGGTATGCCGACCCCGGCCACCTGGGAGCAGAAAGACACACAGTGAGATGGATTTTAAGTACTGTCGTCTCAGCTCCTCTCTAAGCTTCTCGTTGCGGCAGTAATATTAGTCATTCTTTGTAAAGAATATATGTCTGTGAGTATGATATGGTTTTTCTACATGTGTTGCAGCACCATTTGTGTTAAAATATCCATTGCTTAAAGGGTAACACCACCACCATATAGATACTAATTCTTTGCCTTTGTGTGTATCTGGCGCTTCGACCTGTATGCTAGCATCCAGACAGCAGAGGCTATGTTTGCTTTCACGACCCAATGTTAAGTTTATGTATAGTTTGGCGTTAGCATTCATCTCAGAGTTGAAATAAACAGTTTGAAGCCTCCCCCCCCCCTTTTTAAAATGTTTACAAGTCATATCTGCCAAAAGTCCGCTTCCTGTGAAGTGACTTGGGCGACCTGCCGCCATACAGGCGTCGTATCTGAAGTTTGTGCTCACAGCAGCGCCACTCACTGCATCGACAGAAATTTAACAACGAATGGTGGATCGGCCGGCCTGTGAAGGAGGACGGTGCGGTGGGCTTTATCCCCAGTCCGGTCAACCTGGAGACCATCCTGATCAGGAGAGAAGTCCAGGCCAGGAAGGCGGCCAAGGCCTTAGCCAAGTACGTCAGCGTTCACCCGAGTTGCCTTTCAAAGTGCCGTCTAATCAACTCCAATCAAATCTCCGTTGTTTCAGCAAAGCATCATCACAAATGGCTCACGATATGAACTCAAAGAAATACACGCCTCCGTCGCAAGGTGAGAATGGAGGGTCAGTGGATGTTCGGTATGCTGACGGTGTGACTCGATGTAATTGTACACTCGCTGACTTCTTCAACAGCCAACCAGCAGGTGAAAAAGAAGCCGGTGAGTCCGTTCGTTATTTTTCAAATAACCAAGCGGTGCACGGTGGTCGCGGTCGGTCAGTGAAGAAATCTTCATAGCCGCGCTTCCGAGCGGTTGACTGGAAAAATCACGTCGAGGACGATCGGAGCAGAATCTGTACAGCGACATCCGATCGGGTCGTCCTCGCCATGAGTAGTAGCTAACATGCGGCGCACCGAGGAAGAAGACGAGAAACACGTTCGCTACCGATCTGATGTGAAATTTAGAGCACTGGCAAATCACAAGAATAAGTATATGATGGATGCGGTCCACTTTTATCAGGAGTCTCGCCAACTAGGAACAGCGAATTGACAGTTCAATGAACCCTCGTCTAGACGAGAAAAATGAATGCAACAGCTACACAGCAAGCGCACTCACGTACGGAAGCCGCAGACGAATCGATAGAGGTCGAACTTGCATCGATAGAAAAATGGCTAATGGCTAATGCATGGCACTGTTTCAAAATACAGTCCGATACAAAGTGTATGTTTTTATTCGGGCGCAGGGGGAGCAGGTGTCCATGTACGACGTGGTGCCGACCATGCGTCCTGTGGTTCTCATGGGACCGTCGCTGAAGGGCTTAGAGGTGAGACCTCGCCTTGAAAATTCACTCGCATGATTGGATAGCTTTCACCGTGCCGCCGGAATGGCCTTTCCTTTCGTTCCAGGTGACAGACATGATGCAAAAAGCCCTGTTTGACTTTTTGAAACATCGATTCGAAGGCAGGTCAGTTCAATGTGACAGCGTTCGTGCTTGGAATAAAACCATACATGCCTACATCGAGGTCCATCCCTTTGCGCCCTTGATTGATCACGATGGTCACATCTTACGCAATCGACGTAACCCTTAAAGCAGAACGGGCCGTACATCTGTCGTCTCTGATCAGTAAAAAAAAAAAAAAAAAAAAACAAAGTTGGGAAAACTCAACATTTTCAAGGCAACAAATTTCAACATACATTTTAAGTTGGACAATCGAACTAAATATTGTTCAAATTGGCGTTCCCGCATAATTACACTCAACAGGATGCCAAATTCTGCCTGTCGGGACATGTAACCAGCAGTTCATTGCGCACAGATTGTAACCACTTACGTCGGTTCTGTTGTAAACGGAGTCCCCCCCCGGATATTAATGATGAATTCTTATTATTTCTTTCCCGCAGAATCACAATCACGCGGGTGACGGCGGACATTTCTCTGGCTAAGCGCTCCATACTTAACAACCCGGGGAAAAAAGCCTTAATTGACCGCACCAACACCCGTTCCAATTTAGGTACAGTCTTCGTTTTATACTCGGATCGGCCACGTCTCAATGTAACGCTACTCTTAAATCATGTCATGTACTGTCTTTCTCATTGTTTTTTTTTTTTTTGTTGTTGTCACAGATGCCGCTGGTATGTCCACAAATGCATTTCCATATGATCGGTGTTTGAATGCTCCATCATCCCACCGCTCTTCCCCGTCGTGGCCGGTCCCACCAAATCCCACGCGTCTTCCTGCACAAAATAAACACCGCTATCTATGTTGTAATCCGCACAGTACACGCTTGGAGGGCTCGTTCCGAAAAATAACACCGTAACCTTGTCGACCTTTGCGTTGTTCAGCGAGGAGACTATAGGTTAGCGACTGAGCCCTAAGTTCCTTCTGAGACGTGCTCGTGCCGTTGCAGCCCAGATCCAGGGGGAGGTAGAACGCATCTTTGAACTGGCCCGCAGTTTACAGCTGGTGGTGCTGGATGCGGACACCGTCAACCACCCTTTGCAGGTGTCCAAGACCTCCCTGGCGCCCATCCTCGTCTACGTCAAGATTTCCTCTCCGAAGGTAAAACTCCATCTTGTGTTCATCACAGATTGTCAATCGTGATCACCACGTACAAGCACCAAGGCGTCCGTATGCGCGCTTGTCACCGGAACACCCGCGGCCACGGCTCAATGGTTGATTTTGTAGTCGTGCGATCGGCCGAAAAGCAAATGGATGAAGTGCTGCAGTACTTCATAAACTTTATTGAATAGCATTTCTACTCATTTCAAATCAAAGAGATCATTTGAGATCGGAATTTTTGTGTGTGTGTGTGTGTGTGTGTGTGGTCAAGAATTAAACTCGTATCTCAAGGCACCCATCCAGAAATGTATTTACTTTTCTCCAGGTGTTGACCAGGCTGATCAAGACCAGGGGAAAGTCTCAAACCAAACACCTCAACGTTCAACTGGTAGCTGCAGACAAGCTTGCCCAGTGTCCGCCGGTGAGCGCCATCTTTTGGCCAAATATGAGTATGACGTAGGTCTCGGTAAAATCGCAAGTAGCGGTAATTGCTGGCTAAACTAATTGACTAAAACATGACATAGAAAACATAAAGCGGAAATAAGCAATTGAAATGCAAAAGCAGAGGTGAGAGCTAAGCTACAGGAAGCAAATTGTTGTCGGGCGAAATGCGTGGCCGATTTCAATGGAATGCGGAGGGACAACGGTGCTTCAAGACGCCAGTTTAACCACGAGTCGTATCTCAAATCATCTGCCCCCTACCAAATCAAAGTGAATGCTCATAATCTGGACAACCCCCTCCCCAACAATACCCCCAAAAAGTTTGTTTTTTTGACAGTGAAAATATATTGTACTCGATAAAAAAAACCAATGTAAAAAATAACACAATAACAATAATGTCAAAAGAATTAAAATTTTGGTCATTTTTCTGAGAGGATAAAGAATATATACCCGGGAGTACTAATATATTACCTGTGTACATGTGTTGCACCACTGTTTGTGTGTACAATTCTGTTGAATCTAAAACTGGAACCGAAATGCTTAAAATGTTAGCATGTCAGTGTCATTTTGCAGCATGAAGCTAAGCAGATTTTCCAAAGACAAACCAATGTGGTTCTTTTCAAGACAAATGGTGTAATTCCTTCTGTTTTATTTTCAGTTTGATAGTATTTTTTTTTTTCCACCTCTTGGTCTCTCCCTAGGAAATGTTCGACGTCATCTTGGACGAGAATCAGCTGATGGACGCCTGCGAGCACATCGCCGACTATCTGGAGTCGTACTGGAGGGCCACACATCCGCCGGAAATGGAGCCCGCCAACGATCTGGTGGCGAGGCTTGCCGAGAGCACGCTGCCCATCGGTCCCACCGTCGTACCGGTCGGTTATACTTGAGGGCGCGCGTGCCCGTGTGGTGTCATTTCGTCTCATAACGTATCCCGCCCATTCTCGATCTGACACATTGTACTATAAATATAGTCGAAGTGCTTCGATATTCATGGACTTTTGCTTCCATTCGTTCATCTCACATCTGATTTCTCCCTATCATCGTACCCCTCCACTGGAAAGTGACATTTTCTGGTGAGTGACAAATCCTCCCCTGCAGTCTGCATCCATCGCTTTGCCTCCTCTGGCTCCCATCCTCAACTTTCGATCATACCAAACACAAGTGAGAAAAAAAAAGGTGCTACAGTACGTATGAACTGTGAAGCGGATGTGCTAACCACTCATCCATCGTGCCGCCCCGAATAACATTTATTCTTTTGACTTATCATTTGTATTCTTCGAGCAGTTTTATTTGAAATATACATCATATCATGTTTGAAAAATGAATTCCGAGTAATAATGATGATCATCAATAACATTGATCTGTGCGAAGATGTGAACGATGATGTTGCCGCAAGTACAAAGTGACACGTCGCGTCAGAATTGGCCTGCAAGTGAAGAGGACGTTCAAATTGCAACGGCAGATTCCAAGGAATGAATGGGAGCAACGTCATGACCGACTTCGGAGAACAGTCGACAAAGCAAACGAAATGGAAGCTCGACGTCCGCCCGCAGCTCTTCAGCTCGCAGGTAATGTGGCTGAAAACTGCAAGAGGTTCAAACGGCGTTTTGAACTGGATTTTGCTGCAAGTCCAGCTGACGAAGAGCGCTAAAATGTAAGCATCTGTGTTTTTGCATCTGGTGGGAGATGACGTGTGCGATCATTTCACATTTGCTGCTCAGGCCGATAAAACGAAGCTGCCAAAAATGATGGAAAAGTTGGAGGCTTACTGCATTCCCGAAACGCAATGTGACGTCTGAAAGGCACCGATTCTTCACGTGTGCGCAACCAGTTGGGGAAAATATTGATACGACGAGATAAGAAATCCTTTATTAGTCTCGCAATGGAGAAATTCCCAATTCACAGCAGGAAAGTGATGAAAGGAAGAAGTAGAAGAAGAAAATACAGTATCGGAGCTGCTGGAAAGGCGGCCACTCTCGCGGCGCCATCTTGAAGAAGTCAAAATAACACAAACGCCTAAGACACAGACAGGCACAGATCGACATATAAATGAGCTGAGAAACCGAGCCAAGACGCGAGTTGGGTGGATTGACAGAATTGTGTGTGGCATCCATCACACATAAGAACCCGAGAGAGGGAGGCTGCTCATCGGGTCTGGACCCGGAGAAAGCTTTAGCACTATGTAGAGCTACAGAGACTTGGTTGCACTCATCATCACCCCTCAAGTGGAACTTGAACTCAATTTGTCACTTTGCGGTGTTCTGTAGGAACACACACGCCAGCTCTCGCGCGAGTTCGCAGAAACCCGCAAACATTTCAAGCCACCTTTAATCGTCATTGAAAGCAGTGCCGTTTATACAATTCTGTACATTCGTTTGCAAAGTAACAGAAAAAATCAATCAGATAATGTAACGCTACTCTTAAATCATGTCATGTACTGTCTTTCTCATTGTTTTTTTTTTTTTTTGTTGTTGTCACAGATGCCGCTGGTATGTCCACAAATGCATTTCCATATGATCGGTGTTTGAATGCTCCATCATCCCACCGCTCTTCCCCGTCGTGGCCGGTCCCACCAAATCCCACGCGTCTTCCTGCACAAAATAAACACCGCTATCTATGTTGTAATCCGCACAGTACACGCTTGGAGGGCTCGTTCCGAAAAATAACACCGTAACCTTGTCGACCTTTGCGTTGTTCAGCGAGGAGACTATAGGTTAGCGACTGAGCCCTAAGTTCCTTCTGAGACGTGCTCGTGCCGTTGCAGCCCAGATCCAGGGGGAGGTAGAACGCATCTTTGAACTGGCCCGCAGTTTACAGCTGGTGGTGCTGGATGCGGACACCGTCAACCACCCTTTGCAGGTGTCCAAGACCTCCCTGGCGCCCATCCTCGTCTACGTCAAGATTTCCTCTCCGAAGGTAAAACTCCATCTTGTGTTCATCACAGATTGTCAATCGTGATCACCACGTACAAGCACCAAGGCGTCCGTATGCGCGCTTGTCACCGGAACACCCGCGGCCACGGCTCAATGGTTGATTTTGTAGTCGTGCGATCGGCCGAAAAGCAAATGGATGAAGTGCTGCAGTACTTCATAAACTTTATTGAATAGCATTTCTACTCATTTCAAATCAAAGAGATCATTTGAGATCGGAATTTTTGTGTGTGTGTGTGTGTGTGTGTGTGGTCAAGAATTAAACTCGTATCTCAAGGCACCCATCCAGAAATGTATTTACTTTTCTCCAGGTGTTGACCAGGCTGATCAAGACCAGGGGAAAGTCTCAAACCAAACACCTCAACGTCCAGCTGGTAGCCGCAGACAAGCTTGCCCAGTGTCCGCCGGTGAGCGCCATCTTTTGGCCAAATATGAGTATGACGTAGGTCTCGGTAAAATCGCAAGTAGCGGTAATTGCTGGCTAAACTAATTGACTAAAACATGACATAGAAAACATAAAGCGGAAATAAGCAATTGAAATGCAAAAGCAGAGGTGAGAGCTAAGCTACAGGAAGCAAATTGTTGTCGGGCGAAATGCGTGGCCGATTTCAATGGAATGCGGAGGGACAACGGTGCTTCAAGACGCCAGTTTAACCACGAGTCGTATCTCAAATCATCTGCCCCCTACCAAATCAAAGTGAATGCTCATAATCTGGACAACCCCCTCCCCAACAATACCCCCAAAAAGTTTGTTTTTTTGACAGTGAAAATATATTGTACTCGATAAAAAAAACCAATGTAAAAAATAACACAATAACAATAATGTCAAAAGAATTAAAATTTTGGTCATTTTTCTGAGAGGATAAAGAATATATACCCGGGAGTACTAATATATTACCTGTGTACATGTGTTGCACCACTGTTTGTGTGTACAATTCTGTTGAATCTAAAACTGGAACCGAAATGCTTAAAATGTTAGCATGTCAGTGTCATTTTGCAGCATGAAGCTAAGCAGATTTTCCAAAGACAAACCAATGTGGTTCTTTTCAAGACAAATGGTGTAATTCCTTCTGTTTTATTTTCAGTTTGATAGTATTTTTTTTTTTCCACCTCTTGGTCTCTCCCTAGGAAATGTTCGACGTCATCTTGGACGAGAATCAGCTGATGGACGCCTGCGAGCACATCGCCGACTATCTGGAGTCGTACTGGAGGGCCACACATCCGCCGGAAATGGAGCCCGCCAACGATCTGGTGGCGAGGCTTGCCGAGAGCACGCTGCCCATCGGTCCCACCGTCGTACCGGTCGGTTATACTTGAGGGCGCGCGTGCCCGTGTGGTGTCATTTCGTCTCATAACGTATCCCGCCCATTCTCGATCTGACACATTGTGCTATAAATATAGTCGAAGTGCTTCGATATTCATGGACTTTTGCTTCCATTCGTTCATCTCACATCTGATTTCTCCCTATCATCGTACCCCTCCACTGGAAAGTGACATTTTCTGGTGAGTGACAAATCCTCCCCTGCAGTCTGCATCCATCGCTTTGCCTCCTCTGGCTCCCATCCTCAACTTTCGATCATACCAAACACAAGTGAGAAAAAAAAAGGTGCTACAGTACGTATGAACTGTGAAGCGGTTGTGCTAACCACTCATCCATCGTGCCGCCCCGAATAATACTATTTATTTTGACTTATCATTTGTATTCTTCGAGCAGTTTTATTTGAAATATACATCATATCATGTTTGAAAAATGAATTCCGAGTAATAATGATGATCATCAATAACATTGATCTGTGCGAAGATGTGAACGATGATGTTGCCGTTGACTTTGCCAGGACGAGCGACAGAGCAAGAAGCCAGCCGGGTCCAAGAGGAAGGGTCCCGACGACAACCCGTCCGGTCAGGAGCCCCCCTCTTTGGCCCGGCAGAAACCCGATCAGGGTCGACGAGAGGATGACGAGGAGGAGCGTCTCCTATGTAGCGAAACCAAGCGAGCCTAGTCTCGCAATGGAGAAATTCCCAATTCACAGCAGGAAAGTGATGAAAGGAAGAAGTAGAAGAAGAAAATACAGTATCGGAGCTGCTGGAAAGGCGGCCACTCTCGCGGCGCCATCTTGAAGAAGTCAAAATAACACAAACGCCTAAGACACAGACAGGCACAGATCGACATATAAATGAGCTGAGAAACCGAGCCAAGACGCGAGTTGGGTGGATTGACAGAATTGTGTGTGGCATCCATCACACATAAGAACCCGAGAGAGGGAGGCTGCTCATCGGGTCTGGACCCGGAGAAAGCTTTAGCACTATGTAGAGCTACAGAGACTTGGTTGCACTCATCATCACCCCTCAAGTGGAACTTGAACTCAATTTGTCACTTTGCGGTGTTCTGTAGGAACACACACGCCAGCTCTCGCGCGAGTTCGCAGAAACACGCAAACATTTCAAGCCACCTTTAATCGTCATTGAAAGCAGTGCCGTTTATACAATTCTGTACATTCGTTTGCAAAGTAACAGAAAAAATCAATCAGATCAGTACCGTATCGGTCCCAGCGGGACGTCCCAGAGCCTAAAAAGTTCCAACTCTGCGGGGACACTTTTTCTTATTAAATAACTGAATACATACCATATACAGTCGAGCGCAAATACATGGAGCGTGCCAGTGTGATACATTTGCCTGAGATGAGCACGTTCCCGGCAGCCGACGCGGATCACAGGGCGATAATGGGCTCGGGGATCTCCTCCTCGGCCTTCTCCATCAGTTTGTTGGTGTCCACCACGTCGGGCTGCGTCCGCTCGCGCCCGAAGTACAGCGGGTTGTCGAAGGTGGGCAGCGAGCGCGGCGACTTCTTGTAGAGGAAGAAGGCGACGACGGCCAGCGCGGACGTGATGGTGACGATCAGCACCACGATCAGGCTGGTGTGCCCGCGCGAGCCGCCATCTCCGCCTCCCTGGGCCTCTGCGCGCAACGTTAAAACGCATGGAACAAAAAATAATGCGGGCAAATTCTCCACAGTATGAGCAATGGAATTTGAAAATCAATTCTGCTTCAAACCGAGCGATCAGATTTCCCTGTTCAATTTTGGACATTTTCTTTGCGTCATGTTCTTCGAGCCTATTCGAGAATAAAACCAAAAATTCTAATCCTAATAATGAGGAGGGACTTACGTGATTCGGGGTCCTTATCTCTGGGCATCACTGTGGGGCAAAAATAGAAATGCAATGCAAATCAAAGGTGACTTCCAGTCGCTTTGAAGCGCTTGGCGTGAGCGGACGCTACCTTTGGCTGTTTCGCAGATGTACGCTCGGTCATTCCATTTCAAGCCGGACGACCACTCCCCATCTGAGGTTCGCATCTCTCCGTAGTCCCTCTCCGCGGCGTTCACCGCAGAACAGAGGCCATTGACAGCCACGAGCCCGAAGAGGAGGAGGGGGAGGAGGAGGAGGAGCCGGAGGAGGATGGACGCTCTCGCCACCGTGCCCGCCACCATCAGAACCATCATCATCATAATCGCCGCGACGATGACTACGACCACCGCAGGCCGCACCAGCATTTCACGGCGGACCACGACGACCGCCACGGTAAAGGAAGCGAGCGAGAGGGGCTCCGGACCAGGGAGAGGGACAAGGACCGAGGCAGAGACGCTAGGCTGAGCCGCAGGGACTCGCATTTGCACTAGTTTCTGCTCTGACTCTGTTATCAATGTGTCAACGATCTGATTGATATTTATTATTGTATATTTGGAGCAATTTTTATGACTATAACTAATGTTCTAGTTTTGGTACAAACAGAGGAGTTATCTAATTAAATCCCTTTTCATGAGCACAAGTGGCTATGCGACATTTGTTGACAAATAGAGACGCTCTTTATAGACGCAATGTATTATTATAGGTGGTCCAGTTGTACCTGATTAAAGGTTTCAGCAGCTTTTGTACACGTTTCACACGATCTCCGCACCCCAAAGCCATTTAGGATCATTTTTCAGTCTGTTGGCCTCGAACCCTGCCATGATTTTTTTTTTTTTTTTTTGCCATGACGGATGATTGTCGAAATCGTTTGTCGCGATATGAGCAAATCGTATTTGCCTGTTTGATTGCAATATCTGGTTGCCGAGTAATGCCTCGTTCGACTCGTCATGTCTGCCCACAGCACACAGAGCATACTGAGCATGCGCGGGAGGGAATTCAACGGAAGCCCGCCACTTTGCACTCGTCGGTGCCTCCCCCCTCCAAGAACCGCTCTCGTCCTCCAAGTAAAGAAGCTCTCCTGAACGCTTTCAACAAGTTGTTTTATTCAAGTGAACCGGCAAGTACAAAGTGACACGTCGCGTCAGAATTGGCCTGCAAGTGAAGAGGACGTTCAAATTGCAACGGCAGATTCCAAGGAATGAATGGGAGCAACGTCATGACCGACTTCGGAGAACAGTCGACAAAGCAAACGAAATGGAAGCTCGACGTCCACCCGCAGCTCTTCAGCTCGCAGGTAATGTGGCTGAAAACTGCAAGAGGTTCAAACGGCGTTTTGAACTGGATTTTGCTGCAAGTCCAGCTGACGAAGAGCGCTAAAATGTAAGCATCTGTGTTTTTGCATGTGGTGGGAGATGACGTGTGCGATCATTTCACATTTGCTGCTCAGGCCGATAAAACGAAGCTGCCAAAAATGATGGAAAAGTTGGAGGCTTACTGCATTCCCGAAACGCAATGTGACGTCTGAAAGGCACCGATTCTTCACGTGTGCGCAACCAGTTGGGGAAAATATTGATACGACGAGATAAGAAATCCTTTATTAGTCTCGCAATGGAGAAATTCCCAATTCACAGCAGGAAAGTGATGAAAGGAAGAAGTAGAAGAAGAAAATACAGTATCGGAGCTGCTGGAAAGGCGGCCACTCTCGCGGCGCCATCTTGAAGAAGTCAAAATAACACAAACGCCTAAGACACAGACAGGCACAGATCGACATATAAATGAGCTGAGAAACCGAGCCAAGACGCGAGTTGGGTGGATTGACAGAATTGTGTGTGGCATCCATCACACATAAGAACCCGAGAGAGGGAGGCTGCTCATCGGGTCTGGACCCGGAGAAAGCTTTAGCACTATGTAGAGCTACAGAGACTTGGTTGCACTCATCATCACCCCTCAAGTGGAACTTGAACTCAATTTGTCACTTTGCGGTGTTCTGTAGGAACACACACGCCAGCTCTCGCGCGAGTTCGCAGAAACACGCAAACATTTCAAGCCACCTTTAATCGTCATTGAAAGCAGTGCCGTTTATACAATTCTGTACATTCGTTTGCAAAGTAACAGAAAAAATCAATCAGATCAGTACCGTATCGGTCCCAGCGGGACGTCCCAGAGCCTAAAAAGTTCCAACTCTGCGGGGACACTTTTTCTTATTAAATAACTGAATACATACCATATACAGTCGAGCGCAAATACATGGAGCGTGCCAGTGTGATACATTTGCCTGAGATGAGCACGTTCCCGGCAGCCGACGCGGATCACAGGGCGATAATGGGCTCGGGGATCTCCTCCTCGGCCTTCTCCATCAGTTTGTTGGTGTCCACCACGTCGGGCTGCGTCCGCTCGCGCCCGAAGTACAGCGGGTTGTCGAAGGTGGGCAGCGAGCGCGGCGACTTCTTGTAGAGGAAGAAGGCGACGACGGCCAGCGCGGACGTGATGGTGACGATCAGCACCACGATCAGGCTGGTGTGCCCGCGCGAGCCGCCATCTCCGCCTCCCTGGGCCTCTGCGCGCAACGTTAAAACGCATGGAACAAAAAATAATGCGGGCAAATTCTCCACAGTATGAGCAATGGAATTTGAAAATCAATTCTGCTTCAAACCGAGCGATCAGATTTCCCTGTTCAATTTTGGACATTTTCTTTGCGTCATGTTCTTCGAGCCTATTCGAGAATAAAACCAAAAATTCTAATCCTAATAATGAGGAGGGACTTACGTGATTCGGGGTCCTTATCTCTGGGCATCACTGTGGGGCAAAAATAGAAATGCAATGCAAATCAAAGGTGACTTCCAGTCGCTTTGAAGCGCTTGGCGTGAGCGGACGCTACCTTTGGCTGTTTCGCAGATGTACGCTCGGTCATTCCATTTCAAGCCGGACGACCACTCCCCATCTGAGGTTCGCATCTCTCCGTAGTCCCTCTCCGCGGCGTCTGCGCCCCAGTTTGTGTAGTCCAATACTGTTTTATCCAACCACAGCCACGTGCCTGATACCAGGAAAGGATTTGGATGAGGCCTTTCAAATGTTTCTCCGTGAAACGTTTTGAAAATGCCAGCGGGCCGTACCTTTGTGCGTTTTGTACAGGCCGATCCAGAAGGAGCTGTGGCTGTCCTGGAACACCTCCACGTTGCTTTGAAGGAACGCTTGCTCCTCAGGATCTTCGATGCTGGCCAAATAGCCTCCTTCAAAACAGGAAGCCATCGCGTTTCAATCTGACTACCAAATAGTGGACAAACTCTGGCGCCGGAGGGCCACCATTTGTAAAACCAGGATCAAACATCCCGTTGGTCGTTCAAAGTTCAAGTTACAAGTGTGAGTACAATGCACACAATTCTATTAATATTGAGATTTGTATTGGTGCCTTGAGATACAAGTTCAATTTGTTCCGTGACCACATTTGTCACTCAAAACACTCCCATTTCTAATCATCTTTTCCCACTGAAATGAATGGAAATGCCTCCACACACACACATACAAACGCAAACGCGTCTTACCGTGTCTCGCGCAGCTTGTGGCTGCATCCGGCCACTCGATTTCATCGGTGACAAACATGTAACAGTGACTCTTATATGGCAGCCACGTGAAACTCTGGCTGTAGTCGGCCATTGTGTCGTCGGGGCAAACTCCCGGGTAGTTGGTTGACTGCGTAGGAGGCACATCTGCGAGACGCACTTGTCGTCAGTGATGGCTCAATTGACATGCCAAAATGATATGCAGCATTATGACGCACGACTGTGCTGAAACAATATTTGTTTGTTTATTCATCACATAGTTACACATGGTCGAGAGCAAAGTTTAATCAGAGATGGCTTAGTTGTTTGTTTACCGTGCATGGCGGTGCTTCAAATGTTTGTCTCAAAAATTGGAGAGAAAAATCACGTATACGTGCGCGCGCGCGCAAGTGGCTCGCACCTGTCGACTGCATGCAGACGGTGTACGCGGTGCGATTGCAGGTGGCCGTTTTGAATTTGCCATCCACGTCCAAGTATACGCAGGGCCGGTCCTGGCTGGGTTCCCCTTCAGCCCAGTTGACAAAATTCATGTGCCAGCCGTCGATGTATCGAAAATAACCGCCGGTCTGAAAGTCAGATGGACATTATTCGTCACGGCGGAATGCGATTTCCCCACAGTGACTTTGTCCCCGTCGCACCTTCTCTTTGTTCAATCCGATCCACAGAGGGGAGTTGAGATTCAAGGCCAACAGCTCCACGTAGGCCAGCGTCCACTCGTTTCTTAGACTGGCCAGGGTGGCTTTGTGGCCCTCGCAGTGCCTCTTGGCGCCGTCCCACGTCATATTGAAAGGCACGGCCAAGATGCTGTCATTTCCCAGGGATACAAAGATGTTGGGAACAGCCGGTTCGGATTGGGATGGGCGACCCGGGTCTGTTGAGGACAAGGAAAAATGAAGCCAACGACAAAACGACTGCAAATGAGGCGGGCGGCAGGGATCGGGCTGGAAAACGCTACTTCCGTCCCGCAACGGCGCACAAAGTGTCCCGTTACGTCCACTTCTACCTGTGCAAAATTCGAAATGAAAGAAAAGTCCACCATGACGCCCGCTAGCCAGAGGCTGAGTGAGCCGCACTGTATCTGCTTACGGCGTCGACGTGGCTAAAGCATGGAGAAGTTACAACTGTCTCTTCCCTAATATATTCCTTGTCAGAACTCCGAATCCTCCATCATGAAAAATAATCAATGCATGTGCCGTTATGCCTCTATTTCTATTTTTATTTGATTTATGGTCTGGATCGCCTTTTTTTTTTTTTTTTTTTTGAGGGTGTGTTCCAACTCATTTTGATGCTAAAGGTGGTTCATGGCTTAAAACATTTGAAAAGGGGCTTCTTGAAGACATACTGTATGTACATTACCAAGACTTTTGGTACAGATGAATCCGTTGGTGTCATTGCAGGACTTGATCAACCATTTGCCAATTCCATTAGTGGGGTTGTTGGTCATGATCACGCAACTTTCCTAGTGGAGGGAGACACAATATTAGAGACATTAGCGGACGTTTTTGACTGGCTTCATTTTTGGAAATGATAGCGGTACGTGGATCAATTAGTCGACTGGCACAAGGAGCCGAGTGACTTTGTGCAGGACCAAATCTTTAAGCGGCCGGCAAAATGCATTTGTGGCGACCTGCCACGAGTTAATATAGACGCGGCGTGGGAAAGACGGCTGCTAATTAGGCAGAGCCGATCACTGACGTCATTGATCGACCGGAAAATGAAGGCGGTACGGCCGATCACAGCTGATCAGGTCGCTGTGAAGTCCGGAAGACTCATCCTCCCCAAATTATAATGTCTACATTCTAAATGTCAAATTCTTGAACGTTTACCTCATTCCATCTTTGGTAAAAAGTCCCCGGACGACGTCGATGTATCTAAAGACAATTGATATAGTTAGATACAAAAAAAAAAAAAAACGGGAAAACCGATGACAGTCAATTTCTACACGCTGTAAATGAAATATTTGCACTTACTGAGTAGCCCCAGTTGGTGTATCGCCTTGGCTTTCCGTCGCTCCAAAAAAAGGCATCTTGCTTTAAACTGTTCAGGCCGATCCACAGGTCTGCTGCCGCTTCGGCCATTTTGGTGACCAAATACGCTGCAGGTTTTCAAAGAAAGACAGTTTGGGTTTTTTTGTTGTTGTTTGTTTTGACCAAGAGTGAACTGTGACGCTTCCTTTGCAATGTACTGTCGGAAACGTCAACGCCGTCGCACCTTGCACCCGCCTCGTGGGTATGGAGGCTAAATTCCCGCCCATGGAGTAGCAATGTTTCCTTGCTTCTTCCCAGGTGGTCTTGCGATTACTGTTGATGGTGTAGCACTGGCGACGTGAAATCAAGTACTTTTAGACAGACCTTGACTGACATCCAAACCGTTTCTACCAAAACAATCATCCTAAAGCAACATTCCCAAGTGAGACTCCAAATAAAATGGAGAGATAGATGAGCCAGCTCCATTTTAGATGAGGTCAAAACAAACACAAAGTGTCCGTAAAACCGTTATTCTTTTTTTTTTTTTTTTTTAATGAAACTTTTTTTTTTTTTTTTTGTTCTTGATCCCCCCCCAAAGTTGAACGGT